ATGGTGGCTCACACCTGTAATCCCAGCACTTTGGGAGGCTGAGGCGGGTGGATCACTTGAGGTCAGGAGTTCGAAACCAGCCTGTCCAACATGGTGAAACCCTGTCTCTACTTAAAATACAAAGTTAGCCAGGCATGTTGGTGCATGCCTGTAATCCCAGCTACTCAAGAGGCTGAGGCAGGAGAATCACTTGAACCTGGGAGGCGGAGGTTGTAGTGAGCCAAGATCGTTCCACTGGACTCCAGCCTGGGCAACAAGAGCAAAACTCCATCTCAAAAAAAAAAAAAAAAAGGAAAGAAAAAAAGATCTCTACTCTGTGACTGAGAAGGTGGCATTAGGGGAAAATATGTAATTTACAAAGTTACATATTACAACACACATCCCTGCTGTTAAATTCTGTGTGTGTGTGTGTGTGTGTGTGTGTGTGTGTGTGTGTGTGCTCGCGGTAGAGAGAGCTGGACAAAGGAGAGAGGTCTTGGCCAAAGGAGGTTTTTCTGGTTTCAGGTGAATATATATATTTGTAAATTCTCCAGCAATTGAAATGAATCCACTTTGTACTTGGAAAAGATTTGTAATACTAATTTTTGAAACTAAGGATTTTACTGGTTACTTGGTCATGAGAAGGAAAAAAGTGAGAAGTTTTTCTTTCTTTTTTTTTTTTAATCCTGTACCATTTTCCTAGAACATCAAGCCCTAGCACAGGAAGGGACATTTTCACACTAATCTGTGCCAGCTGGAGTAGTCCTGCCATCTGATTATCATATTTTGGAACACTGGGAAGCTAGGATGCAGTTAACAGGTACGTAGTAATGGGAGAACTTTCTAGAAACCATGTCTGGAGACGCAGTTCCGGAACTGAGATGCTGAGCCTGGGGAGGGGAAGGGAAGACTTGAGTGGGGCAGGCCCTACAAAAAGGGATTCCATCAATCCAAATAAGTAAAAGTCACAAAGAAAAAGTCTGGTCTCAATAGCAAAGGGCATTCTTTTCTGAGAGGTCAGTGTTGTCACAGGAGACAGAACGTTCTGCACACTTCAAGACATGCTTAGAAGGCCCCTCGATGTCAGCAGAAAAGGGGCTGCAGATGTTATTTGAGAAACCAAGTTATCTCTGTACAACAAAATTAATCATGTATCAAAACGCGATAGATAGACAGCCTGCAGAAGTGAGAGGTTCCCAGAGCACTACGGGAAACGGGACCTTGAAATACAGAAGAGAAAGTACAGGCTCATGAATGTCTGGACAACATACCAGCAAGTTGAGCCTGACCAACCACTCTGACATCCTGATGAGTCGGCTTGACTCAAGAAGACAGGTTCTAAGTAATTCAGGGTCACGCAGCAGAGAGAGATGGGGATTAGTCAAGGGTTTTCACTCGCTCACTCACCAACTATCCCGATTGAATTCTCACACCACGCTAGGCACTTTTTAGGGAGCTGTGTACATTTTCTGTGGAGGCACAGGGTTAGGACATGATCTCTTCCAAGGGTACAAATTTCTCTGTGCATTTATTCCTTGTCTACCAAAAACCTATTTCCTCTTTTAACCTCCATGGTTACCTGCAAATAGGAAGGAAGGAAGTCTATGATGATGAATGGAGCCACGAGATATGTGCATTCTTTACTGTAAAAGATCACACAGAAATTCTAGTTTATAGATTCCCCAATGTGACCATTCAGACTTTGGGAGCATTCAATTTGAAAGAGTAGATAAAATATAGTTTCTAGAACTGCCGAATTGAGGATGAGACCCCAGACCAGGGTGTGGCCACTACCCTGTGAATACTGGGGGGTCCCCCAGCCCCCCTCACATTTCTCTTAAACTTTTCAGAGTTACCTCCTGAGACCCCAGGGGTGTGAATTCTGAGGGCCCTATCAGCTCTGAGATTATAGGCTGAACTTAGGCATCAGAATTGCTAGAGAGCTTTATCTCAGTTCTGAGAAATGGTTAAAACTACCCTTGGCAGTCACATGCGGGACCACTTATTTCATGACTATGGATATTTTCTTGTAGGAACAATGCATAGTGAAAACCCAATGGGATAACCAACATAAAATTGCATTTTCTCACCTCTTGAGTTTCCACCTCTTTCCACTGACTGAAATGGATTGCCCCCAACCTGTATTTTTGAAACTGAGACTTCTTTAGTGAAACTCCAGCACCCACCCCACACTGGCGGAGGAACACCCGGGGACATACGGCAACTCCTCTCTGGACCTCAAGTTTCTCCTCCCCTGTCCGTCTGTTATTTCTCTGCTGTTTCAGGATTAAAGTGTCCTTTTACTACTTCAGTGCTAACTCATCAGCTTGTACTCTTGGTCCCAAAATTGGTATTTTGTGGCTTATATGAGCTCCTGCATCTTTCCTTCGTGGCTGCCTCTCACCCTTCAGGTCTACAAACGTAGTTCACTTCTCTGTGGACTAAAATCACAAGCCTCCACTTTACTTTGGCTCCTGTTGGAGCAACCATCCTGCCTCCTTCCTTCCCATCACAAATGCCCATTGACTCTGCTCCACCTCTCTGTCCACCTTCCACCCTCGCCACTTGAGGTCACACACATCCAAACCACCAAATCCAAGAGTCCTGGATCCCTAAATGCCACAAAACCTCTCAGCACATCTAACACCATTTTTTCTTCTTTTTCCCTCCTGAATCTGGTTCTTACTTTGAAACCGCACGTGTCTCTGACTCAAGCAACTTATCTTCCCCTCTCCTGTCGAACACGGCCATGTCTGGTTCATGACTCTTGGTGGTCATCGGCTTGATGCTTTGCTGCTCTGCGCAGCTGTGCTTCTCCTTCTCAATGGTGGCGGCTGCCAAATCTGCTGGACCCCTCGTTCTTTTTTTTTTTTTTTTTTTTTTTTTTTTTTTTTTTTGAGACAGAGTTTCACTCTTGTTACCCAGGCTGGAGTGCAATGGTGCAATCTTGGCTCATCACAACCTCCGCCTCCTGAGTTCAGGCAATTCTCCTGCCTCAGCCTCCTGAGTAGCTGGGATTACAGGCACGCGCCACCATGCCCAGGTAATTTTTTGTATTTTTAGTAAAGATGGGGTTTCACCATGTTGACCAGGATGGTCTCGATCTATTGACCTCGTGATCCACCCGCCTCGGCCTCCCAAAGTGCTGGGATTACAGGCGTGAGCCACTGCACCTGGCTGACCCCTCAGTTCTGCCAGCTCATCATTTCCTCCAAGAGACCTCCAAGGCTTTTAAAACCCAGCCCAAACTCATCATCTTGCCCATTGTGTTAGATCTTTTCTGATTGTTTGCCGCATTCAAAATGGGTTCTCCTTTCTTTGAGGATGAATACCGATCTATAGGGTTGGGTCCCGAGCAGTCATTTGACCTGACTTCCTGGTTACAGTTGACTGGCACAGGGACAGCCACCTGCCTAAGGCTCCTAGTATTTAGGTGAGCGAGACAAAGAACTGGATAGACTCAGTAGTGAATGCACTGCTCTGTAAGAGAAAGGTGCATGGGCTCTGGTGCTGGGGTCCCCTTAGAGCTGCCCCACTTCCCATCTTTCTGGTTAATTCAACTCTTCCACGGACCTTTCATACATGGTAGGAAAGTTCATACATGCTAGGAAAGTCTCTTTTACCTAAGTTTGCTAGAGTTGGCTCCTACTTAGAGAACTTTAAGTAGTGGGTCCACTGACACTTATCACCTAACAAGCTCTCATTCTGTCTGAAACCCCACCATTCCCTTCCCCAGTGAGGGCTTGAAATTTGACCCTGACTTTCTGTGCAACCCACATCCAGAACATTCAAACCTTGTGCGTTTTGTCTCCAAAACAATCCTCTCCTCCAAGCCCTCTTCTACGGCCCTGGTTCCGGTCTCTGTGATCTTTTCTGGGCCTGTCCAGCCGCTCCAGGCTCCAGTGGTCATTCTGATCATATCACTTCTCTGCCTAACATCTGAGGCAAAGTCTGTAACTCTTAGCATTAAACACCTTTGTCTGTCTGGCTCTCGGGTGCACAGGGCTCATCATCTGCTATTTCCATTCCTGAGTGCCAGCCAGGCCTGATCGCCGACCTCATCCAAACACTGCCCATGCTTTGCACCTTCTGTGATGTTTGTACTGCTGATCCCTTCGCCCTTCGGCTCTAAGAAAGTCTCTCTTCTTTAAGGCCCATCTCCAGTCCTTTTCCTAAGCCAGGGGATAGAGAAACATTCCCTCCCTCTTCTGGGACAGGAGTTCCCTGCTAGACTGGGAGGCCTGGCTCCATCTGATTCCTGGCACTGCTATGGTTGATGGTAAATGGATGTGGAGTGTGCAGGATTGTACTCCATCCAATGTCTGCCACGTTAGGAAAAGGCCTACAGAGAATAGCCAAAGTCAAGTATTTCCTGCTGTCACTGCTTACGATGCTTTAAGCCAATATCAGGAAAAGGAAAGGCTGGGGGTGCTGAGTGGTGAATTACATGGACTGTACCCCAGACCTCCAGACTCAGTGTCTGAAAAACGAGATGCTCATGAAACTGGTTTTAGACTCCAGGAATAACACGTAAAACACTTCCATATACACGAACTGATTGAAATTTTCACTGTGACCCCAGTAAGTAGTTAAAGTTTATGAATGTTAAGTGAGGAAACAGCCAGGTCAGGGGTAAATCACAGACCTTCAACAGGAAACGGTGTTCCTTCTGTCTGCTACCTGCAGTGCAAGTGTTAAAATACAATAAAAAAGGCTACCGGGGAAGGTCTGAATAAGGCAGGGGACGGTTCTGCTTCTAAAGCACATGATGTTTTCCCCACCTTTGTTGTCACACATATAAGCATCCATTGCCAGCCTAGAGAGGCTAACTACACAGGACAGAAAATGTCACCCTTTCTCTGGGAGTACATATTATCCCCAAACGCTTTGATTTGATGATACGGTATTTCGGGTTTTCATAAACCTGTTTCCCCCATCAACTCCCACGCCCAGGTGCAACCTGGAAAATATTCCGCATGCATGTGTGAGTTTCAGCAGGAGGGGCTATGCATATACACATCTGCATATACATACAGGTTTATTTAAATGATTGGATCTATACTTTTGGAGGCTATTTGATGTATCTGATCAAAATAAAACACGTTTTAAGCAAGAGGTTAAAAAAGCTTTTCAGACCCAAAGGCCATTTTAATACAATAAATCCTACTTGGGTAGTTTAGCACACATTTTTTAAAATCCACATCCAACAGACTGGTTAGTATTAGATACACAGATTTGGTTTCAAAGCTGAAATATCCCTAGTGGAATAGATCTCAAGAAATGCAGTTATTTTATATTATGCCACAAAAATAGGGACACTTATCTATTGACGACTTAAATATTAACTCAGTAGGCTACCTGGTGACATAAATAGGAAAAAAACAGTGGTCATGGGTTAGGAGTGAGAAGACTATGACACCAGCCTACCTTGGACTGGGACTGCAAAGGATGTTAAAATCTATCCTAGAATTTAAAACAGGAAAAATGTCAAATATTCCACTCCCCATTCGGCCCAAACCATCCCCCAAGGAATACACCCCCCCACCCCACCCGCCACTTGAAGTTACTAACCACCTGCTACAGATGTTACTATGTCACTAATTAACAATGATCACAGAAAATGTGTCATACCAGAGTTTTTGTTATCATACACAATGCATTAGTGGCTGCAGGAATCTTCCTCCAAAAGCTACCGTCAGAAGGCAAACTGACAAATGTCCATGCCGCTGGTCCAAGAAACCACAGCTAAGAGCCACGAGGCATTCGTTTATACATTGAGCTCTCTCTGGCACGCTCCCCGCTCTAGTTAGAGGAGCTGGGGTGTGGAGAGACCGTCCCAGCCGGGCGCTGCAACCTCCTACTCCTGGGCCTCCTTGCGGGTCAACTTGTAGATCTCAGTGGGTCCGTCCACATGGGTGATAGTGGTGGTGAGCTGGAGTTCTTCCCCACTGTGGACACCCAGATCGCCTGAAACAGGGTTTTCATGTTAGATGTGTTCAAGGAGAAAGGCGAAGCAAGCTGGGGTTCATCTCATGGACAACTGCCCTGAGGTTAGCCCTCTTTCACATTCTGAGCACATAGAGAAACCCAGGGCATACAACATTTAGAACAAGGGCTAACTCCCAACCTATTCACTTGGACTTTGCAGAAGTTTTTTAAATACCATTTTTGGCTTCCAGACAACAGTCATTAAGATACATGAATCAGCTCACTGCTGATATTATTCATAGTCATCATTAACATTTAATGAACGTTTACTTTGTGCCTGATGCTATTCTAATCATTTTGTAGGTGATCTTCTTTAATCCTCGCAGGAGCCCTGTGAAGTAGGCACTATGAACATGCCAGCCTTACAGATGAGGATGCTGGGAGGTAGGCAAGGTAACTGCCCCAGGTGGAGGAGCAGGCCCATGAGAAAGCTGGCAAAGGAATGTCTTATGCCAAGACCCATGCGATGGGCTAAACCAGTGTAACACCTCCCAGTGGATGGGTCAGCAAGGCACCAACATATTTGCTGTGAATAATTTACAAAACAGGAGCCAGAAGCAATGGCCCAGGCCTGCAATTGCACCCGCACAGAAAGCAAAGGTACGAGGATTGCTAGAAGCCAGTAGTTTAAGATCAGCTTGGGCAACAAGCGAGATCCTGCCTCTAAAAAACTGTTGCTTTAATTACCTGGGTGCAGTAGCTCACACTTGTAACCTCAGCTATACTCAGGAGGCTGAGGCAGGAGGATCACTCGAGCACAGGAATTCTAGATTGCAGTGAGCTATGATTGCACCACTGCACTCCATCCAGCCTGGGTGACAGTGAGACTACGACTCTAAAAAAATAAACTAAGCAGTTGTATCGCTGTATCTTGTGAAGGCAAATACGATCTGCCTATATCTATCCACAGATTGGGCAAGGAACCCTATCTAACACATCTAGAAACAATGAGGGGCTTTATTCTCCAGGGAAAAAAAAGTGCCAGAAACGTGCTGTGAATTTCCTGCTGCCCTCAGGATTGCCCCAAGTGTTCTGAACTCATTATCAGTGGGCAGTGTTCTGCTAAAATGGAATAATCTGAACTTTTCTAAATTCGCAGGGGAAAAAAAAAAATTCTCTAAGTTACACCTCGAAAAGCCTGTCACCTGCCATAAGACAATTAAGTGAATGTATAACTAACAAAGAGAAAATGGAAAACGTAACCCTGCTCAGTTCAACTGTGTGTGGGGGTGCATGTGTGCACGTGTGTTTGTGGAGGGGGTACTGGGGAACAGAAAGTTAAACCTGTGTCAGTGATTTTTGTATTGTGCACATATCATTTGATTTCATGTTTTCTGGAACTGAAGTTTTTCTAATTTAAGTCATAGAATTAAGTAACTAAATGCTGTTTTCCATGGAAATGCCGTATCATAGCTTAGAAGAAGCCTTGGCCCTACCCTTAGGACTAATATCTTATCACTAATTTAAGAACTGCTGGGCGTCAATGAATCTGATGGTCTTAGAACCCCAGAGGTCTCTCCCACCCACTGGCCCAGCAGGCTGCTTGGCTGGTTCCCTTCATGTGTGCCACACACTATTCGTTTCTTCTTGTAAAACCATTTCTATGTGGCTGCACAGCAAAATCAGTCCTACTAGTAAATGCCAGCCTATAGCTCTCTACCCAAGAGTTTCCCTGGTCTCAGAAGCAGGCTTGCTGGCTGCCGCAGAGGACTGCTGAAGGTATTTGGGGCTGTTTTGGCAAGAGTCGAATCCACAGGACTATGGGTAGAGAAGGTATTAAAGGGGCATCAGTCCAGACTCCAGCACATCTACATTCATCTGCCCTCAAGCCAGGGCATAGATGCCAAGGAAGGCTGGCGAGAGGCTTTAGCTGGGCTACTTTGGGCCAAGCTAAACCACTGCTTGTGCAATGAGCAACTTCTCCCAGACCAATAACTTGTATTCTCACTGCTGCGACGTCCAGTCCACACTGCAGTCAGGCACAAGCAGTATAAGCCTCACATTTCTCAGTCAAAGCTATTTCTGGATTTGCATATCTGGGCTAGCCATCAAAATTCCAAAGCCAGTTTCATGATCTGCATGTCTGTGTGAGTCATCAAAATTTCAAAGACAGTCCTGACCACTGCGGTGGACCCATTAGCACTCATCACCGTTTACCTAAGGAACCCCTTTCCCTCGGGACTTCTTAGAAATAGACCCTAGAGAGTAATCCTACTCAGGCTTTGAACCAAAGAGGTTAATTCTTTAAACTTACAATATACCTCCAATTAGCAGATTCTAGAATATGTGTATGATCCTCCAGATCACTTGAAGAAACAGCCAAAATTGCTTTGGCTTCTTTATTTAAACCAACACCTATGTTATCCTGCTTATCACATGCCTGACACAGTTCTGTACAAATATTAATGCACTTAATTCTCACAGCAGTCCTCAGACAGAGGCACTATTATCAGCACTCCCATTCTGTTGATGAAGAAACTGAGGCACAGAGAGGCTAAGTAACTTGTCCAAGGCCCAAGCTGCTAAATAGTGATGTGGGATTCAAACCAAAGAAATCGGTGTCAGGATGCAGACTCTTAGCTTTTGGGTTCTGCTGCCTCTTCTTATATATTCAAGTTTCCAGCAGCCAGTGAGACTGCCAGTGAAGTATGAAGTCCCCATGCAGCGCATTACAGTTAAAAATATCCATGTACGGCTAGCACAGTGGCTCACACCTGTAATCCCAGCACTTTGAGAGGCTGAGACGGGCAGATCACTTGAGGTCAGGAGTTCAAACCAGCTTGGCCAACATAGCAAAACCCTGCCTCTATTACAAATACAAAAATTAACCGAGTGTGGTGGCATGCATCTGTAGTCCCAGCTATAGAAGAATCCCTTGAACCCGAGAAGCAGAAGTTCCAGTGAGCTGAGACTGTGCCACTGCACTTCAGCCCAGGTGACAGAGCAAGACTCCATCTCAAAAAAAAAAAAAAAAAAAGAGAACAACTACTAACACTCATGAAAACTTAAAGAGAACATAAAATAATGGTAAGGCATCCATGCTCATAGATTGGAAGAATTAATATTGTGAAAATAACCACACCACCCAAAGCAATCTACACATTCAATACAATCCCTATCAAAATAGCAATGACGATCTTCCCAGAAATTGAAAACAATCCTAAAATTCATATGAACCACAAAGAGGAGACCTGCTTGACCCCAGAAGGTGGAAGTTGCATTGAGTCAAGATCGTGCCACTGCACTCCAGCCTAGGTGATAGAGTGTCTCAAAAACAAAACAAAGCCAAAAAACACACGTACAATAATTTGAATAAATTGTTTGGCATATTAACTTTGCTTTTGTATCTAATAAATTGATAGCATAGAAATCAGTGTGCTGACCGGAGAGCTGTTATTTATGAGTATTGGCCATATGCACTGTGAGGGGCTGAGCAGGCCCTGTATTTCCTTGTATGTTGTGAAACTACTGCGGCATAATTAATTTCTCTACTGTGCTGGATGAGGACCCAGATCAATGGGACTCTATGTTTCCCATGTGATTTGACTGTACCTTGAAGGCCAACTGTTCCCCCTTGCGGAACGGCTGGGAATACGGCAGTAACATAGCAGGAGTGGAGATCCCTCCACTTGCTTCCTAATTCCATCACCTCCTACCTCTGCCAAGGTCTTGCTCCATCTGTTAGTCTCCCCCTCTCTTGGCGCCTGCTGCTCAGTGCACAAACATGCTCAAAGTCTCTTCCCATCTAAGACAAGAAAAAACCCTTCTGAAAATGTGACATGCGTCTTACTGGGGTGAAAAAGGGTGAAAAAAAGAGAAAAGAATGCTTCAGTTTGCAGTAAATTTCTCTCCTTGGTTATGATGTCAATTCATCACAGCTCATTAACAATTAGATGAAGGTTTATATCTTCCTAACCTTGTGAAATGAGACCCATCTCTGGCACAGATTTCATCTTAATGGACTACAGCGATGTATCCATATGTGTGGAGTCACATCCACAGGTGTGTAGCTGCTGTTTGCTTGTAACTGTCTGGAATGCCTAATGAGGATGAAGAAAGCCACATGCATGGGAGACAGCTTCGTAGGACTGGCAGCATCTTAATGACAATCGTTTGTTTATCTGTGCTCACTTCAATAAAATGACAACTGCTACACTCATTCTGAGGTTGTATTATAGATTCCAGGAGAGATTGGAGGTCCCACCAGAGGTCTTCTAATATTAATAAGGACTACCTACTTCCATCCTCACCGCTACCTATGCAAATTAGCATGCCACTGCCAAGTGGGAAAGCCAGGGAGGTCCCACACCATGAGCTCATATTTGTCCTCAGGGTCCTCCTACACCATGTGTACTGGAGCCGAGATTCCAAACCATCTGTGTCCACCTCCAAAGCTTATGTTCTCTCCGTAACACTCATGACTCTATCCTTTATTGTGGAATTGTCCCTAGGCCCACAGCAACCTCTCTCCTCTCCCCTATTCACCTTCAAAGCTAAGGTGAGATGGTAACTTTTGGGAATGAAGTCTCTAGTTCATAGCAGAATGAGAAAAACAAGAAAGTGTGATATTTGTAAAGCCAAATTATTTTCATGCAAAGGACTGTTGTTTAAGAGTATGTCTACTTACATTTTTGGTATTAATACGATTGTTATGTTAAAAAATAAAATACCGTGGCTGGTGCAGTGGCTCACACCTGTAATCCCAGCACTTTGGGAGGCAGAGGCAGGAAGATCACTTGAGCCCAGTAACTGGAGATCAACTTGGGCGACACAGTAAGATCTTAACAAGAAGAAAAAAATCCTAAGAAAATGATGAATGGCAGGTTTATTCTTTTTTTGTTGTTATTGTTGTTTTAAAGAAAGTAAGTACCCAGGATAGTATGTGGTATATAGTAAGTGCTCAGAACACCCACGAAGGCCAGGCGCAGTGGCTGACGCACCTGTAATCCCAGCACTTTGGGAGGCTGAGGCAGGCAGAT